TTGAGCGAAAGGAGGGGGAGGTGCTGAGAGGTAAGGAAGAAATCAAAAGAAGTGGAAAAAAGCAACACCAGCAGCCAACAAATGGCACTCAGAGAGTCGGCCAGTGCGGGCAGGTGGAATCCAAGCAGCCAGTGCTTCCCAGCCAAGAGACTGTGGCCGCGGCAAGCAGAGGCGGCAAATGGGGGTGAAGAAGGGTAGGGGGTGGGAAAGCGTATATAGCCAGTTACCGGTTGTTCTGTCTCCTGCTGGAAGCTCCGTGAAGCTGCTTTCTCATACCCCCTATTTGCTGGTCTCTGATACGAGTCCAAGATGGTGGATCCGTGCTGCGTTAGCTAACAGGTGACCTCTGCATGTATGTCTCCTTGCTCTCTGTTTTCTGTCAGTTTCTTATTCCATTTGGTGCTTGGCTGAGTTCTTTATCTCTTCATTTGATGTTTAGGGTTTCAGGATTACTGTTTTCTCTGTTTGGCTTAGTTTTTCCAGTCTTTGCTGTGGAGGGACAGGGTGGTGCTTCTGCCTAGAGCACCTTGTTGCTGGAAGTCCCTCATTAATTTTTTTTTAATAGACTTTATTTTTTAGGATAGTTTTAGGTTTACAGAAAAATTATGCAGAAAGTATAGAGAGTTTCTATATGTCCTATCCCCCCTGCACACTGTAGTTCATTTATTTTTATGTATGTGTAGTAATCCATTGTATAAATACAGCAGAATTTATAAATTGTCTTGTCAATAGATACTTATGTTACTTAAAATTTGTTGTTGTTACAAATAGTATAGATCTTGGTTTGAATCAAGGTTCTGCCACCTGCTTTCTGAATAATCTTGACAAAGTTATTTAAAATTTCTGAGATTGGAATTTTCCCATGAAAAATGTGAGTTATAAATCTAACACATGGATTGTTGTGAGGATTAATAAGATAATGCATATGAACTAGTTTCGTATCCTGAAACTCTGCCATCATAATACCTTTCTTCCTCTTCAGTTCATCTTTTTCTTTTCCCTCCCCAATTTCACCATGCTCTGTTGGGTGAGGGGAATTTAAAAATGTTTTTAGATTTGTCAAAAAATCCTTGGACACATTTAAAAAGCTTCCAGTTCCAAGGTAACAGCAACTCTGACTCAGTGAATACATTGTTAAAGCCCCCCAGATGGTCTCATTCTTCCCAGTGATGTGCAGAACTGGGTCAGCCATTAGTCTAGGGCTGCTTGTTCAATATGGTGGTCATTAGCCACATGTGACCATTACGCACTTGAAAGGTGGCTGGTCCAAATTGAGATTTCAAAGTCTTAGTTTGAAAAAAAGAAAGTAAAATAATTAGTATTTTATATTTTATTCAGGAAGTATTATGATTATTTGATAAATAAACTTTTCATTTTAGAATAGTTTTAGATTTACACAAAAGTTGCAAAGAGACTACAAAAGTTCCCATAAATCCCACACTCAGCTTCCCCTGTTGTTAACATCTTGCATTACTATGGTACAGTTGTCACAACCCATAAACCAGTATTGATATATTATTATTTGGATGTCCTTAGTTTTCACCTAATGTTCCTTTTCTGTTCTGGACACCTATCTAGGATAGCATATTACATTTAGTCATCATGTCTCCTTAGGCTTGTCTAAACTGTCAGCTCTCAGACTTTCCTTGTTTTTGATGACCTTCACAGTTTTGAAAACTACTGGTCAGGTGTTTTGTAGAATGTTCCTCAATTTGTTGATGCTTTTCTCATGATTAGACTGGCGTTATGGGTTTTGGGGAGGAAGACCACAGATGTAAAACGCTATTCTCACCACATCATGTCAAAGGTGTACAGTATGTGATCAACATGATTTTTCAGTAATGATATTCACTTTGATGACCTGGCTGAAGTAGGGTTTGTCAGGTTTCTCCACTGTCAAGTTATTCTTTTTCTTTCATCTTTCTATGCTATACTCTTTGGAAGGAAGTAACTATGACAGCTCAAACTTAAGGGGTGAGGAGTTATGTTATACCTCCTTGTGGGGGGTTATCTACATACATTATTTGGAATTCTTCTGTAGGAGGAGTTGTCTATTCTCCTTCATTAATAATTTTTTAATGTGGATTTCATGTTGAAATAATATTTAGGGCTAAATAAAATATATTATTAATAATAATTTTACCTGTTACTTTTTACTTTCTAAATGTGGTTACTAGAAAATTTAAGATTACTTATATGGTTCAATTTCTGGCTTGTATTATATTCCTTTTGGACAGTACTGGTCTATAAGGGTACCCAGAATAGGGTATCTAATTATGATCTTGGGTAAGTTATTTCACCTCTCTGAATGTGTTTCCTCTTAAGCAAAATGGGGATTATAAAGTGTCTAACTCATAAGGTTGCTGTGAGGACTAGATAAATTAACATATGGAAATTCTTGAAAACAATGCTTGGTATATAATAAGCATTTTATTAGTTTTGGCTATTATTTTAAATTAGTGTGGTATATCCTGTAAAGACTTGCATAGAGTTGTAAGAGTAGATGTTGGGGCTATAAAGTGATGTAAAGCCAGCTTTTGCTTTGTAAGGGCCCATTTTTTTTAATTTAAATTTTTTTATAGATAAAATATTTGCGGCTTCAACCATTTTCATGCATACAACTCAGTGACATTAATTACATTCACCATGTTATGCAACCATCACCACTCTCTGTTTTCAAATTTTTGCATCACCCTTAACAGAAACTCCAACCTAACACCAAACCCACTGCAGTCAAGTTGATTCCAACTCATAGCCACTCTAGAGGACAGAGTAGAACTGCCCCATTGGGTTTCTGAGGCCAAGTGCTTTAACCACTCCATCACCAGGGCTCCTAACTCAGTGCCCCTTAAACAAAAACTCCTCCTTTCCCTCTCCCACCCACCTCTGGTAGCCACTAATCAACTTCGGTCTCTCTGCATTTGCCTATTCTAGATTTCATATAACTGGGATCATACAATATTTGTCCCTTTGTGTCTGACTTATTTCACTCAGCATGATGTTTTCAAGGTTCATCCTTGTCATGGCATGTATCAAAACTTCACTTCTCTTTATGGCTAAATACTATTCCATTGTATGGCTATACAACATTTTGTTTATCCATCATTTGTTGATGGACACTTGGGTTGTTTCCACCTTTTGGCTATTATGTAAGGGTCCATTTTTATTCGAAGGCTAGGTTATTTGTGATGACAGACACCTGAGGAAGAAACAAGTCTCTTTAAACAGTAGATTGCACCAGAGGGGGAAAGCCCAAGATGGGGACAGGGAATGTATCTGTTTGCCTTAGTCTAGTCCCTAAAGAGGTCATGATGTTTAGAAAGGGATCTGAGTTTGTAGGTAGGGTATCTGTACTCAAGAAACAGGTGAGTATTTAGGAAGTAAGGGACCTAGGTAAGGTTCTTGTAAAGTTGTATCAACACTTTGACAGTTTCCTTAAGATATTTCAGAAAGTACATGGTAGATGATTGGATTTGTGAGCACTTGGAACCCAGCTAGCTATTGTGTCCTCAGAAGAGCTCAGGCTCTGAATTTAGATTTGAATCTTGGTTTTTCCACTCTCTACCATGTGACCTTGGGCAAGTTACTTAATTTTGCTATGCCTCACTTTCCTTGTCTGGATAATTGTGCTTGTTGCTTAGAGCTATTGTGAGGATTAAAAGGGCCAATGCAAGTAAAGCACTTAATACAGTGAACATTGTAAGTGACAAATAATATTAAGCAGTTATTATCTGTATGCCAGATATTTTTTATTTCTTGCAAATGTTCTCCTCTTCCTCTTTTACTATTTAGTACAATCTTTTAGAAAGTTCCTTCTCAGCTTTCCTAAGAGGAACCAAGGGAGGAAGTGTTCACCCCTGGGCTACTGATTTAAATGGCCAGCAGAATTTTCCTTAGGTTAGAATAACGTGGGAACTCTCAAAGACTGTGAAAATCAGAAGGATAAAATGTAGGCTGCCTGGACCCAAGTTGCCTCGCATGAAGATTGTCCTTCTAGTATGTACTAAAATCCTGGTATCCCTGTTTTCCAGGGGATAGTTCCTATTTTGGTCTGTCTTAACTTCATGCAGACTACAATTTGGGGCTAGCACACGGAAGTCAAACTTCTCCTGCCCTTTCGAAGTGTTCATTTGCCAAACGCACTCACAATGAATGCAAAGACCCCTTTTGGACCTTGCCCAAAGTATTTGTATTCTTTCTTCCTGCTAGGTTAAGATAGCCCTTTCTCTAGAGTTTTGAGTCATTTGGATGGATTATCAGACCCAAGAAACAGAGAATGGCCGGTAACTGTCGACCTAGCCCCAGATGAATGGGGATGAGAGAGAAAGGGCTGTGTGGAGCAGCTGGGGTCTGAACTGACCAAGGAAGGGAGGGTGAGATTAATACAGGATGCAGCTGGTATGTGGAGTGGGATTTATTATTTACCACACAATTTTGGGTCGCTGAGTCGGAATTGACAACGGGCAATGGGTTTGGTTTATAGCGCTACTATGAGGACTTAGCAGAGCCCTGGTGGCGCAGTGGTTAAGAAGTTGGCTGCTAACCAAAAGGTAGGCATTTCGAATCCACCAGCCGCTCCCTGGAAAAAGCCTGTGGGGCAGTTATACTATGTCCTACAGGGTTGCTATGAGTCGGAATTGACTCGATCGCAACTGGTTTTTTGATTTTTTACACGGAATTAGATAAAATCTAAGCACAGTACCTGTAATACATCACAATAACTGTTGGCCATATTTATTCTGGTGTACAGACGTGCCACTGGATTAGTACGGATCCAGAAGTCTATTGCCGTACACCTTCCCCAGCCAGCTCTTTGGGAAACCGAAAGTTTCCCTGCCCCTCAGCTATGTGAAAGATGCAGAAGCCTTTAACAGGAAGGAGACTTCCTGGTTCGCTTTTGCTCTTACGGCTCCGATTACTGCGCCGCACGCGTCCACCAGGGGCCGCTCGAGCTGCCCAATATCACTGCGGTTTCCGGGCGGCGCGCCCGCGCGTGCTCACTTCGTGTTGCGCCCGCTTCTCGCCCTCTACAGCCGTCGCACAGGCCTTCTGTTGATGTCCCGAAGGCGGCTCCTCAAACCAAGCCTCTGTGGCTTGGGGACGGGAGCGGTTTGGGGATAATAATCTGCCCTCTTCTGTGATCTCTGTTTTGCACGTCTTCGTTCGTGGGCAAGTCTAGGGCAGCAAGTATTAGCGTCTCTATTGCCCTACTGCCAGAGGAGGCCGACCCCGGCGGGGAAATCGGGCTGACAAGGGGCCTGGGCCAGGGGAGACGCCGCCGCTGCCCGGATGTTGCGATGGTTGATTGGGGGAGGCCGAGAACCTCAGGGCCTGGCCGAGGTAAACCCGCGGGAGGACCGTCCTTACACCCGCAGAGGCCGAGCTAGCCGGAGCGATGGTTTCTTCCAAAGCCGGCTCCGGGATTTGGACGCGGGGACTCGGGTGGAGGCGGGGCCTACGGGTGTGGACGCGCAGCGAACAGCCCCGAGGCCGGCGAGGAGGCGGGGTCTGTGGAGGGGTTCTATTTTCGCGAGCTACTCCGTTCCTCTTGGTCCCGCTCAAGTACCCAGAGTTAAATACCCGTGTTCTAAGAGCTGAGGTAGCTGAAGCTGACGTGGTTCAACGACTGGCTCAAGGACACTTTGCTAGTAATCAGTCGAGTTGGGACCTCTAAGAACGTAAATCTTCTGGCTACTTAAACCAGCCCTTTTCAACTTGAAAAAGTATGCTAACTTAACCAGAAACGAATAAGTGGTGATTACAACTTCCCACTTTTCGTTTATTAGAATTGGTTCCTCTTTCCACCATTAACTGATGCTTGCTCAGGGAATATAAAATTATTTTGAGTATTCAAGAACAAAAAGGAAGGATACTATTTTAAAAAATAATAATTTGCTTCAAAGTAAAGAAAGTGATTTTCTAATTAACTGCTATTTTTGTTTCCGTAGTCACACTTTCCTCGTGGGCCTGAATAATTGAACAGACTGTGTAATAAGATTTACATTGAAGTGATGAGAAAAAAATTTTTTTTTTGCAGTGTTGAGGTCTGAAATTTATTTCATATCACACAAAGAATGGAATTTGTGTTGAGTTCCTTTTTTCTTAGCAAATACTTGTTTCCATTTAAACTTGGGTTCTTGTAAGCAGCCTTACTTCTCAGTTTTAATTTCCTCATATCTTTGCAGTTGAGATTTATAGTCTACTTAAAAACAAAGTTTTTCTTGTTTGAGATTAGGTTGAAACTATAATTGTGGAAAAATTTTTTGTCATTGAATAGGATAGTTATGACAATTCTGTATTAACCTGATTATTTGAGTAATCATATAATTTCATTCACCAAGTCAGCCTTTCTTCTCAAACTTTCGTTTGGGGGGAAGCTGTTTTATATGCTACAGGCAATCCCTGGGTTGGGAACATCTGCTTTCAGACAACTGGTACTTAAGAACAGACTGCCATAACTCACCCATTTACCTCAAGCCTATTCCAACTCATAGTGACCCTATATGACAGAGTAGAACTACCCCCGAGGGTTTCCAAGGAGCCGCTGGTGGATTTGAACTGCTGACCTTTTGGTTAGCAGCTGAGCTCTTAACCCCTGTGCTGCCTATTATATTAAAAATTTGAGTTAAATACAGTGGTTTGTAATAACGAACTCAAGTACTACTGGGTGATGCTCATGAAAACATTGTGCAGTTTGGAAGTGTTTTCTTAAGTGTTTTATATGCATAGAAAGGTATGTATTAAGACAAACATTTGACTGATGTTAAATAAGAACCGTATGTACCTGTTCCAACTTACCCATAAATTGAATTTAAAGACAAACTTAGGAATGGATCTCATTGGTAACCCAGGGAATGCCTGTAGTTTTCAGATTTTGTGCTTTTGCCTTTCTCATCAAAACCTCTCTAGAAGGGAGACAGGAGATAAATAAAAAATTACTGCTTTGTGGTGAATTTTTTTTTAAACCTTTATGCATGCTAATTTGTACATTTCTTTATGTGAAAGCATTTCAGTTGTATAGTTGCTATTAATTTGTACATTATCAAAATTTATAGTTTTTTTCTAATTTGCAAGCACTTTGTATCCAGGCTTCTAGTAGTATCTGGAGACATTTTTGATTGTCCCAACTTGGGGGAAAGGGGTGTGCTACTGGCATCTAGTGTATAGAGGCCAGGGATACTGCTAAACATCCTACAATGCACAGAACAGCCTGAACAACAAAGAATTATCTGGTCCAAAATGTCACTAGTGTTATGTTTGAGAAACACTGGTTTAGAGGTTAAGAACAAAGGTTTTGACATGAGTTAGTACTGGGTTTGACTCCAGAAATGGGGTTAATAGGACCTACCTACAGAATTATTGAGTGAGTTATATGAGATGTACTTATTAATTAGTATAGTGTCTGGCGTGTGACTTGCCACATAATACTATGTAAATGTTAGCAATTACCTTTATAAATATTACCCAGAGTTGAGTTCATTGACTGTAAATGATTTCATTCCTTCCTTTATTCACTCAGCAAATGTATTGAGTACCTATAACGGGCTAAGCACTGTTTTAGCCTTTGACCTGCAGTTTTGTTTCTGCCAAGTTTGTTTTTTTTTATTTATTGTAGTTTAAGTGAAAGTTTACATTTCACGTTAGTCTCTTATATAAAAATTTATATGTACATTGTTACGTGACCCTAATTGCTCTCCCTGTACTGTGACAGCACACGCCTTCTTTCCACCTCTGATTTCACATGTCCATTCAACCAGCTCCTCACCCTCTTTGCCTTCTCATCTCACCTCCGGACAGAAGCTGCCTGTTGAGTCTCATGTATCTACCTGAGCTAAGAAGCACACTCCGCACGAGTATCATTTTACGTCCCACAGTCCAGTCCAATCTTTGAAGACTTGGCCTTAGAAATTGTTTTAGTTCTGGGCTGATAGAGAACCCGGAGGCCATGCTTTCCAGGGTTCCTCCAGTCTCAGACCATTAAGTCTGGTCTTTTTAGTAGAATTTGAGTTCTGCACCCCACCTTTCTCCTGCTCCATCAGGGACTCTCTGTTGTGTTCCCTGTCAGGGCGGTCATTGGTGGTAGCCGGGCACCATCTAGTTCTTCTGGTCTCAGGCTGATGAAGTCTCTGGTTTATGTGGCCCTTTCTGTCTCTTGGGATAATACTTTCCTTGTGTCTTTGGTGTTCTTCATTCTTCTTTACTGCAGGTGGTTGGGACAAATTGATGCATCTTAGATGGCCGCTTGCAAGCTTTTAAGACCCCAGATGCCACTCACCAAAATGGGTTGCAGAACATTTTCTTAATAAACTTTTTTATGCCAGTTGACCTAGACGTCCCCTGAAACCATGGTCCCCAGACCCCCACCCCTGCTATTCTGTCCCTCAAAGTGTTTGATTGTGTTCAGGAAACTTCTTAGCTTTGGTTTAGTCCAGTTGTGCTGATTTCCCCTGTAGTGTATACTGTCCTTCCCTTCACCTAAGATAATTGTTGTCTACTATCTAGTTAGTGAATAACCCTCACCCTCCCTCCCCACCCTTGTAACCATCAAATAATGTTTTCTTCTGTGTTTAAACCTTTTCTTGAATTCTTGTAATAGTGGTCTTATACAATATTTGTCCTTTTGTGACTGATTAAATTCACTCAGCATAATGCCCTCCAGATTCCTCCATGTTACGTTTCACGGCTTCATCGTTGTTCTTTATCATTGCGTAGTATTCCATTGTGTGGATATACCATGATTTGTTTATCCATTCGTCTGTTGATGGGCACCTAGGTTGTTTCCATCTTTTTCCTTTTGTGAGCAGTGCTGCAGTGAACATGGGTGTGCATATATCTATTTGTGTGACAGCTCTTATTTCTCTAGGATATATTCCAAAGAGTGGGATTGCTGGACTGTATGGTACTTTCATTTCTAGCTTTTAAAGGAAGCACCAAATTGATTTCCAAAGTGGTTGTACCATTTTACATTCCCACCAACAGTATATAAGTGTTCCAGTCTCTCCACAACCTCGCCAGCATTTATTTTGTGTTTTTTGGATTAATGCTGGCCTCATTGGGGTGAGATGATATCTCATTTGTTTCTGCCAAGTTTTAATTGAGAAACACCTGTTCTGAAAATATTGGATTGGTCCATGTAATTTTTTTTAAAAAGTCATACCTTTTATCGATGTATGATTTGCATGCAATAGAATTTAACATTTTTGTAAGTTTATTTTGACTTGAAAATACTAAAATTTAAGGTGTGGATTTGTGGTAAGAGAAATGTATTATGTGGAATTGGCAGTTATTTAGTTTATGTTAGGGGAAATATGTAATATTAGAACATTAAGGAACCTTGGTGGGGCAGTGGTTAAGTGCTCGACTGCTAATAGAAAGGTTTGTGGTTCGAACCCACCAGCTATTCCGAGGGAGAAAGATGTAGCAGTCTGCTTCCGTAAAAATTTACAGCCTTGGAAACTCTATAGGGCAGTTCTACTCTGTCCTATAGGGTTGTTCCAGGTCGGAATCGACTCTACGGCAGTGGGTTTGTTTTTGTTTGTTTTTATTAGAACATGCTATCTTATAGCTTTTTAAATCATGTATTGTTAAAATGTAAACCAGGCAGTTATATTCCAACTTGATCTTTTATCATAACTCATTTTCTTTCTCTTTTTTGTTTTTCTTGTTTTCTTCCTGTATAAGAAATCTCCTTTACAGACAATAGGTGAAGAACAAACCCAGAACCCCTACACTGAACTGATTGTACTGAAAGCTCATCATGATATCGTAAGATTTCTGGTACAGTTAGATGACTATAGGTAAGAAACTCTAGTTGTCTAATTGACTATTGCTTGGAAAGAGTTTTCAGGAAATTTTATATTAAAAACAACTGCAAAATTAATCTATCTTTTCTAAAAATTTCACAACTCTGATCAGTAGTAACATTTAGTGGAAACTGACCTCTGCATCTTGATGAAATATGTATCTGAAGTCTTTTTTGTCCAAAGTTAGGGTGTCATACCTGGTGATTTGAGTTTTTTTTTTTTTTTTTTTTTAAATTCTCAGTAATATTCTCGTTTAGAAGAAAGTTTATGACTTCAAAATTTGGATGGGGGTTAAAACTGTATATTAAGGTGAACCCGAATTTGAGAAACAAATATGGTAAATGTTTAAATATCAGGTACCTACCAGGATGTGTGTTATTTTGACTGGAAGGTAAGGTAAAGTTTAGTCTGAATTTTTTTGTAATTGATGAAACCCCTTTGAAATGTGTATTATTCTGTAATACCTTGCTAACATTGTATAATAAATTGCTTAATATATCTGCCAATAGAGATAAAGATGTACAGGTCTTAGGCTGTAGACTTAATACTGATCTGCATATTATCTGTTTATTGAACTCTCATTCAACTATATACTTATCCTTTGTAGCATGTATAACAATACAGTTACATAAGTATGTAATTATTTAGTATTTGTCTTCTCTAGAATGTAAGTTTTATGAGGGTATGGGCCATCTTTTTCTTATATCTTATTATACTGTTCTTGGTGTCTTGGGCACTGCTTTGCATATTAGTTGTTGTTGTTGTTGTTGTGTGCAGTTGAGTAGATTCCAACTCATAGTGATCTTATATGACAGAGTGGAACTGCCCCATAGGGTTTCCAAGGCTGTAATCTTTACGGGAGCAGATTGCCAAGTCTTTTCTCCCGCAGAGCTACTGGTGGGTTCAAACCACCCACCTTTTGGTTAGCAACTGAGCCCTTAACCATTGCACTACCAGGGCTCCTTGCCTTGTGTGTTTGTGTCTTAGTCATCTAGTGCTGTTATAACAGAAATACCACAAGTGGATGGCTTTAACAAAGAGAAGTTTATTTCTTCACAGTAAAGTAGGCTAAAAGTCCAAATTCAGGGTGTCAGCTCCAGAGGAAGCCTTTCTCTCTCTGTCGGCCTTCTCATCAGTGTTCCCCTGGACTAGGAGCTTCTCCGCCCAGGGACCCCAGGTCCAAAGGATACACTCTGCTTCTGGTACTGCTTTCTTGGTGGTATGAGGTCCCCCTTCTCTCTGATCACTTCTGTTTTTTATATCTCAAGAGATTGCCAGTGTTGTAGATTGAGTCCTGCCTTACTAATTACAACTGCCACCCATTCTCCCTCATTAACATCATAGAGGCAGGATTTACAACATATAGGAAAATCACACAATACCAGGAATCAAGGCCCAGCCAAATCGATACACACAATTTTGGGGGGACATAATTCAATGCATGACACGTTGCATATAGTAAGAATTAATAGGTAGTTGTTAAAGGAAAGAATGACTCCCAAACTAGTAAGTGTACTGTACATGTTGCGTGCTATCCTCACTTCTGTTGTCCCTACCGGTTCTTTCACTGTCATCCCTAATTTTCTTTTACCTCTGCTACTGTCTTTTTGTTTTCTTCCTCCTTTCCATTTTTAACTCCATGGGTGACTGCTACTGTGATTATTCCTAATCCTGATCACCATTTCAAATATCTGTTAACCTTGTTTTCTCTCTGATTTTTCTTATGTCTTTGGTCTTCAGTTGCTTTTCCCGTGCTTCTCAACTTTTGCTTGCAAAGATTGGCCTCTTATTAGCCTATCAGCACTATTTTCCTGTTGTGATGCAAGCCAGCCAAATCACAGCATGATAAGCATAGTGAAACAATCTTCAGCCTTTTTTGATAATATTAATTGTTGCTATGTCCTTTGATACATTCTTTTATTTATTTAAGTGGTCATTTTTTGGGGGAAACTAAACATTTCTGAAAAGGTAGGTTTTGGACAGTTAAAGTTATCTGTACCCTGTTTTTCCATAGTTAGCTGCTAGGTTAAAAAAAAACAACAGATAATTTCTTATAACATAATCGTTAATACTTGGGCCCTAAAGAGTCTTAGGAGTCCTTGGGCGGTACACACGGTTAACACACTTGCCTGTTAACTGAGAAGTTGGAATTTTGAGTCCACCCATACACGCCTTGAAGAAGGGCCTGTCAGTCTACTTCCAAAAAATCAGCCATTGAAAACCATGTGGAGCACAGTTCTGCTCTGATACACATATTGTCATGAGTCAGAGTTGACTTGATGGTAACTGGTACTAGTTTGAGGAATCCTAAAATTATTTTCTCTAAGAAAGTTAGATAAAAGATACACTGTATACTTTCAGGATGTGGTCTTTGAATTTTTATATAGATTACTACTGTGAAGTTTCATGTTCATTGCCATCTCTTCTGTGTGAAATGTTCTCTTGACTATTCTCCATATATAGTTAGAAGAAGAGTCTGCAGACAGTGCTGACTTATAGAATAATGTTGTACAAATGCTGATGTTTGATTACATTTTTCCCCACAGTGGTACTAGTGTATATTTCAGTTGTTCAGTGATTTTAGTAAATGTTTTGTAAACAGCAAAAAGTTGTATATGAGTATATTAGTTTCTGTTGCTCTGTAAAGCATCACTCCAAATTTAGTGGTTTAAAACAGCAGCCATTTATTTAGCTCATTATTCTGCAGAATTGCAATTTGGGTTAGGCTTAGCTGGATGGGTCTTTTCGTCTGGGCCAGGTTCAGCTGCTCTCTGCTAAGTTCACTTTTGCATCTGGTCAACTAGTAAATCAGCTGAATCTGGCTGATTCCCTGTGGTCTTGGTTTCTCGCCATATGGTTTCTCAGGTGCTTGTTCCTATAGTGATCACAGAGCTCTTTTACCAGCAAAAGGGCAAGCCCTAGTGTACAACCACTTTTCAAATCTCTGCTTATATAATGTTTGCTACTGTTTTATTGGCCAAAGCAAGTCAGAAGGCAAGCAACTATTTAATGGGTGCGTAAGTAAACTTCACATCTTGATGGAAGTAGCTACAAAGTACTATTGTGAATGATGATGAATATAGGGAGGGAGAATATTTTGCTATCTACCACTCAACATCATCGTCCTATTGCTGTCGAGTTGCTCCTGACTCATAGTGACCCTATAGGTCAGAGTAGAACCGCCCCATAGGGTTTCCAAGGCTGTAATCTTTATGGAAGCAGACTGCCGCATTTTTCTCCTGTGGAGTGGCTGGTGGGTTCCAACCACCAATCTTTTGGTTATCAACTGAGTGCTTAACCACTGCTCCATCACGGCTCCTTAACCACTGCTCCACCAGGGCTCCTTGTGCTATCTACCACAGTGAATCTAAATGTCTAGAATAGATGGAAAAGCCCACTTTTTGACTTTTGCAATAAAGTGATAATATGACTACATGAATCACATTTAATGCTTTGTACTAAAGTCATTACTCTGTCAAAATTTAAATGTAATTGGTATGAAGCTTTCAGTCAGTCATTTTTCTGTTATATTTATAATAATATGATTATAGCAGATAAACTTGTAGCATTTTCAGTGTTTTCTAAAAAAAATAATTCTGTAGTCTGCTGTAAAATAGGAAGAATTTAAAGTCATTCCTTGTAAGAAGAACATAGGAAAATATACAAACTACATGAATATTTATTATAAGTAGAAGAGCTCAACGTTTTTACTCTTTAATGATTTAGATAAGTTTAGAATGATATTCACCATTACATGTGTGCATTATTTATGCATTGTCAGATTACTACAGAAATATCTTTACAATTTAAAAATAAATTTTATAGTGTTATACTCTTTATGTTTTTATTTAGTTTTTGTAGGCAATGCATTCTGTTTTTTTGGTCAGCTGTTGTAATCCAGGTTTCACGCTTCAGGTCTTTAGATAATATCATCTTACTGAGAATTTTGCAGAAGGATTTTCTTGTTTTCTCGGTGGCTCAGCTAAAATCAGTGAGTGGAAAATTTTCTTAGATTGGTTTTTGAAGATACCAAATAAATCCTGTATAACCTAACAGACAGCTGCCTTTTCTTTTCTTCTTTAGTATTTTTTGAACATAAACTGAGGGTCATATTGATTGGGAGATCACTAAGGAAGGCTAAGCCTCAGCAAGAGTCTTCCAAAAAAATGGACTGTGCTAAAATTGCATGTAATACTCTAGCATTTGACACATTAAACTAAACTGAGTTCATAACACATTTTAAGAATAGTCTTCTCTGTTGCTCATTTGACCATTCCTTGCTCCTCCAGGAAACAGACAAGGTTATGTAGGATGGTGATCATGACTGGAAAAGAATCAGGTGACCCATGAAGTGCCACACTAGAGAACAAAACGTGCCTCTAGGATGGCTGGTGAAGCTGTACATTAACACGAAACTAAACGAACTCAGTACAGTTTGATAATTTGCTAAAAACGAGCAATACTTTCTATCTTTAAAGAAAATATTCTTTTTTTTTTTAGCATAAGGTAGAGAATACAGGCTCCATTTTATATTTTATAAACAAAAACTGTCATTTTATAAATGTAAAATAAAGAAGAAAAATACAATGATATGTTAGCTACTGTCAGGGGTGAAAACCTTACATAAACTGTAACCCCAAAGGCTGTTTTCTGAAGAGTTGACCTGCAGATTTATGTAATCTGAGGATTCTTTATTGATTTCATTTATAGAAAGAATCTCTATAGTCAAATCATCACTCACTTTCATGCCTCCACGTGGGAAGTGGTAGATGAATATCTGTAGGAATACAATTTATTGTCTACTCCTCTGCTCAGAAGTAACCCTGTGTCTGTCCAGTCTACACCCAGAACTTTGTTTTCATGAGCAGTGAGATCATAGATCATAGAGAGGAACTTTACAACTTCTTCTATCCCACAGGTTGATATAGTTATCTGAAGAACCTGAGATCAGCTGCGGCTCATGGGTAGGAGACCACTTTACTGATGTGGCCTGG